CCAATGAAACTTTTCCTTATGGATATGGACGAAGCTAATAAACATGAATCAATTCGAAATGTTGGACATCTATCAATGACATGGCCTTTCTCTAAGGTAGTTACTGGGAGGAGTGGAACAGGTAAGATCAATTTACAGGCAAACCTTGTTCTCGGAGATAAAGCAGAGTATATATATAAAAGGCAAAAAGGAGGATCCCAATATATTAAATGTGATGATTTGATAGTTTGTGGTTACCATCCTGACAAGCTGAAATGGACATTCGTTAGATACATATATGGAATGATTGCAAGTAATCCTAAAGCACCTTATTATGAAAATATTAGATTCAGTTATATATCACCAGAAAAAATTCCTAATGTAAAATTGTTTTCTCCAGAGAGGAGTACTGTAATTATCTTTGAAGATTTATGTGTAGTCCCCGAGTTTATTCAAAATCGAATAATCCCATTTTTCACACATGGATGACATCGAAATATTAGTCCAATTTACATAACACAAAAATATCATCATGTCCCAATAATTATTTGTGAAAATCTTACCTACTTAGTTATATTTAATGGGGGCAGTAGCTATCAAGATGTATTCAAGATTACTGGACGATATATAGATAATGTAAAAGATGTATCAATGATTATTAATAGTTATCTTCGAAAAAATGAATTTATTGTATTTGATCTTACTAGGTCAGAGGATGATCCTTTAGTAATTCGGTTAAGGTTCGATACTTCATTAGATTTGCAAAAGGAAATAGAATTGTGTCAAAAGAAAAAATAGTGTAAAATTAATTAAGTATATGTTTCTATTTCTAAAAGTCACTTTTGAAACTAATATCTCAATTGCCATTTTTTAGAACCTATCCAATCATACAGAATAATATATTCTTTATATGTTCTAATTTCATCTTCAGCAACAACAGGATATCTATTATATTTTTTTATATACTTAACAAATTTTTCAGTATAGCGTAATTTCATTTGATCTAAAGATGCAGGATTTTTCACTTTGTATAAGGTCATACCTAAAAATTTCTCATCAGTAGTATTATCGTTTCTTAATGCATTCCAAGCTCGAGATGCTAATGATTCAGGTCTATTCTTATAATTTCTCCAAGCTTGTTGTATAATTCTCACATATTCATCAAGAGATTTAGGTTTATTACATTCGTGATTCTAATGTTTCTGTATCAAATCCTCAGGCTTGATAATTTCAACGTATCTACTTCTAGCATTATGAAATGTCTTTGTTGGTTTTACATTATCAACATGAATAAGCTTCGTACAATCTAGACATATCACCACATTGGCCTTATGGATTCTAGGCCTGTAATAATCATGATTAACTAGTTTAGAATTTTCAAATACTCCAAATAAACAATGTACGTGATATACATTTCTTTTCTTTTTAGAGATTAGCTCTTGTAAAGGAACTCTGATCCGAATAACCCATTGTTGTGAAGTTTCATTGGATCGAATAACTGATAAAGTATCATATTGTCTTTCAGTCTCAAAGAGTTCATCAAAGAATCGTTGATAATCATTAATACCATAATAATTATAAATATATGACTCTACATATTTCATATCATATCCAG